TTTTGTTTTTGATCTCTTCATTTACCATTTCCAAATGTAAATTACCTAAAAAAAACTATGTTTCACAATCCACAGAAACATTGATTTCACTGTATGAAAAACAGGACTCACTTTTCGCACATAAGTTCAATTGTGAAATATGAAATCTCTTAACTCTTATCATTTCTTTGATCGAAACACACAGACAGACACCACAAAAGAAAATGATAACCCCTGTAGAGAAGGTGGAATAACAAAGAGAACTCCATATAGGAATTACTGAGCACACTTTGGTATTCAAAGTAATTCTACTTTATAATTTATATAGTGTTAATCTTTTTAATTTTGCATAAGGAACATCTTCTATGTATGGCCATGCATAGGACATGACAAATTTTGTTTACCTTTGGAAAGTCCTAGCTTCTATAAATGGTATAATTTCCTTGTTGAGCCAGTTGAACCTCGTGGACACATCCAGACTACGGCATCCTCCTATTATAAATCTTTTTTTTTTAATGATGTTATATTTCCTCCTTCTATGCATGTCAACTCTTTATGTATGCTTCGTGCATAAATACTTACTAGTTTAGTTGAATCCTCCATCTGTTTCATTGCAATAATGATTGGTAGGAAAAAGGGAAAACAAATCTGGATTTAACCTAACCTCAACCGGTCTTTCCCTTCATCTCTCCCACAAACGCATCCAACATTAATCACTCTAGTGGGTTATCTTTGTACCTGTAGCTGTTCCCGGTTCAAGTTAGCTATCCATGCTAATTTCCAGGTAATAAAAGCATTCTGTTTTGGCTACACCTCTTCTAGTTTGTTTAATGTTTCTGTAGGAACTAAACTAGCAGAAACTATTAATTTCTCTTCAGATATAACGTCAACCGTAGGTGTGTTAGAGTTCTCTTATAATGGTTATAATTATGGTTCTTAACGTGGGACATTTGATGATACAAATTCCTAGTTCACATATCCTTGATATCCATTTCTGGTATTTGATCAAATACTCTGTACTTTGTCAGAATCTGACACTAGTAAGTTCCCTTGTAATAGTTGACTTCTAGGCATAATGAAAAGTTCTCCCTTCAGTGGCAGGCAGGATCCAAGCAACAACCACCACCTCCTGGTTTTGAACCAGATAAGAGCAACTGGGGATGGAACTGGTTGGAGAGATGGATGGCTGTTCGCCCATGGGAGAATCGTTTCCTTGACACAAATCCCAAGGATGGAGTTAACCTTCCGGAAAATGGATCTCTTGAGGGAAAGGTTGGCACGAAGACTCCGCTTAAATCTGGTAGCAAGAAGCCCTCGAACCTTCACTCAAATCTTCATAGCATAAAGAATGCTGCTTCTCATTCAGACGGAAGTGGCTCATCCAGCAAATCAGCTACTGTGTTGGCAGCATCGAACTCGCTGTTAAAATCTAAGCTGTCTACAGAGGATCCAGTGGAAGAAACCAACTCAAGACCTACTGGGATTGCACCCAGATCCTACAGCAATTCTAATGAGAAACCTGTGCAACGCGATACATTGGCAAAGAAGCGGTTGTCCCTTCCAAATAGCGGTACGTCTTCCACACATCCAAAACTTTTCTTTGGTCTGTAAACTTCAGAATTTATCTAGGTTCATCTGAAATTCAAGGCCACAATCTAATGATAGTTCATGTCAATGTTGTCTGCTATCATGTGAGATTGATAGTTGGTTTACGGAAAAATTGGTAAGAACAAAAATGTATCGTGTTCAACCAAGTTTTTTATTCAATATAATAAAAAAAATGAAGTCCACAAAAGAATGGCAATGTGAATTCGAGATAGTAACGGAAAACCTTCTACCATTAAAGAAATTGTTTTTTTTTTTTGCATACTTTGACTCGTGAGTTGTGAACTTAGATTATAAGTGGCAGGGACATCATCCCGTGTTTGATAACTAAATTCAGTTGGTTGTGCATCCTTGTCTATGATCAAGTTACTGTGACCCTGTTAATGTGTAAACTGTACTTTTTTAGTTTGTGTTTAGCTCACTTTCTTATTGACGTGTCTCAATAAATAGGTACTGTAAGCCAAACATCGAGACGTACTAGTAGAAATGTCCCAAACACGACACGAAATACGAACAAGCCCACCAAGGATAAATATGACATGAACGGGAGACGGCGCCATTCAGACCCCACAAATTGCGTTCCTCAGGAATTCTAGATATGAGCAAGTCCACCAAGAGTCACCAAGAGTTTATACGAATGCCTGGAGGACCTGGCGCTGCTGTTTCAGGTTGTACATAAGTTCTTGTTTTAGGTTGAAGGTGCAGCCATGTAATTCATTTGTTAGATTCATGGACATGGAGTTGAATTGGCAGAGCCATGGAGATTGATGAACTTTATTTGATTGTCGGTAAGTATAGGAGGAGTTGAAACCACTGTTGTAATTAGGTATCACTATAACAACTATTACCTCACCCGGTATTTATGTATTTAATGTTGAGCTATTTTTCCCCGACAGTCTACTATCTATCTCATTTTGCAATTGGAATGTTTGTCATGATCTTTAGATGCTGCTTATTGTAAGAATCAGACATGGTATGGCACTCAGAATTGTATGAATTGTCAACTTGTATGTTGCTTTTTGTTTCATCTCATTTTGCAGATTATAAATGTAAGGATTGTGCAGGCCTGATGTAAATCAATAGATGTACATAGACGCGCTCGCTGAACTTCTGCTGGTATACACAGAAACCTGGGTCATTTTTAAGAGCACTACTTCCATAAAGACATAAAGTTAACCCTTTTTTTTGTGTTGCAGATGTTAATTAAGGGACAACGTCAAGCCATCTAACATTTGTGTGGCAGGTATTGACCGTCTACCTGGACTTAAGTTGTTTGGTCTTATACATAATAGTACTCATAGCAAGCACATTTGCAACTGTTTACTGATGTTATGTCAATAAATAAGTGGCATAAAAATGAATTAGCTCAATGTCTGTAATTCTGTAAGAGTACAGAGGGGCGGATAAGAAAAAACAAATTACATAGGTAAAAGGAAAATGACTTGGGTAGTATTTGTTTTGCACTTCCGATTGTGATTGCTAATCAGGAGAAGACCACCTTTTGAAAACAACTGGTTAGAAGTTAGAACCTGAGGATGTTGGGTTACAAACGTAAGTTTAGTTTAATGTTATCCGTGAATGGTAGATTCAAGAAGGAACATGTAACTTGATTTATAAAACTATTTGTTCATATCTTTTCTTCAGCTGTTTGCACTAATTTAAACCTTAAATTTCTGCTTTTACATAATTTTTAGGAGACGATATATTTTTGCTTTCACTTAGCTTTGATAGAACTGTATTATTTGTTTTTGTAGTCATTAAGCACATTAGATTTAGTTGAAATACAGTGGAAATGCACGACACGACCACGCACATGATAATAATATAAGGAGAATCCAAGACAGCATTGTGCATTTTAAGCAGGGAGTGAAGGGTAATGCTGTAATGCTGTGCAATGTGGGTGAAGTCGTGAACCTTCCCTTAGTATATATATTGGATATTTGGACTTGAATTTGTCTTCAATCAACATTGTTTATTCAAATCTCACGTGGAATACTTTGATTTACTTGATTCTCCCAATCAGCTTTTCTACTTATACATAATACACTCTGTACAGTCAGTCTCTTTAGTCGTAACTAGATTGGATTGGATCTGGTTAATCCAGATTTGCAGATCTAATCCATCACTCACTCTATATAGGTGA